TTTTAAAGAAGGCAAAGCAGTACAAACAATACGGTCATATTTATGTTTTAAATGAATGAAACACACACACACACACAGAGTATACACTTATTTAAAATTTGGAAAGATTCATAGTAACTATCAATGACTACCCTAGCCAAGTGGGCGAATAGGATAAAGAAGCACATTGGATGGTGAGAGACTTCCACTGTTTATCTTATATTCTTTTAAACAGCCTGTGTATTTTTATGCCCACATGTATTATGTTTCTAATAATAAAATATTTTTAAAGAAACAAAACAGTGAAAAATGAATAGCAGGAATAGGTGTCATAGAGAGGGCGAGGGAGGAAAGAAGACAGGAAAATAAGGGAGTGAGGATACAGAAATACTGAGGCTGAGAAACAGGAAGAGTTGAAAGCAGGGGTGGACTCCTTAATTTAAAGAAGAGAAGGCTGAAGGCTGGTGGGCCCTGGGAAGGCAGTTATGAGGACTGACCTGTTAGCTAGGTATATTCACTCAGCAAATATTTACTGAAAGTTTGCTCTGTATCAGGTGCTAGTTTTAGGGAAGGAATTAAGAATGCTCTGTTCTCCTTGTGCTTTGTTTCATCATTGCTGGGGTGTGGGCATTTCTGCCCAGTTGCCTCCAAATTTGCAGACTTAGAGTGTCTTCTCACAGACTCCTCCACTGGAACCCTGTAGGGAAAGGAATACTCCTGGGCAGGGGGCCGGCCTTATTACTTCAGCAGCTACAGGGATTGAGCCAACAAAACCTGGCTCCTGCCAGCGGCGGGCTCCTGCTGTCTGCTTGCTCTTTGCTCTCTGATCCCCCCTCCTGTTTGGCCCTTCAGCCCCTGCTGGCTGGGTCACCACCCCCTGGCATCATAACTCTGAAGCCAGAAACCCTGCTAGGCCATTCACAGGCATAGCCTGGTGGGGCTAGGGGGCAGATGTTATTCGCTCCCCTCTCCTCACACACACATATGCTCACTGTGTGTCAGTGCCCAGGGAAGGGGTCCAGGCACAGAGACTGATTGGAGGCTGCAGGCTCCTGGGAGATGTAAATGGACAGGGCAGGGGGTGTGTGTGTGAGGGGAAGAGGGAAATGCAGTAATCTGTGTGAGATGGGGCTATTGTCCTCACACCGCCCTCCCAGGCAATTACGTGCCAGTGGTTTAATCCACTACCAGTTGGCATCCAAGACATCTTTTCATACCCACTCCTTAGCTTACAAAAAATGACCCATTGTTGTCGAGTTGATTTTAACTAGAACTGCCCCATAGGGGCATCCAAGGCTGTAATTTCCTCTGTTAAATTTTTTTGTGTTGTTTTGCATACAATAATTTGTTGATGTTGTAGTTCATTCATATATATTATTGATTTTTTTTCTGCCCCCTCCCTGTACCCACCCACTTCTGCAACCCTGTGATTTCCCCTCCTCCTACCCTCAGCGCCCCTGTCCCCTCCCCTTCCCTCTTTGGATAGCCACACACATCTTACTGGTTATCCTTCTGTTTCTACAACAGTCTTTGTGAGAGCCTTCTGCTACGTCTTTCTCCCATGGAGTGAAGGTGAACCGCCGGCTTTTTATTAGCCTATTATTTAACCACTTCACATCACCCACCTCCCCAACTAAGCCACTAAAGATTTTGGGCCATATTTTCAGGCCTAAATGCTGTCATTAAGGCAAGGAAGTTAGCCTGAGAGAATGATCCTGTCTACACACACAAACACACACACACACACATACACACACGGAGGATGAGTGAGCATGAGCACAATGCTAGGGAGAGAAGCTGGAGAATTCCTGAAGAGTTTTAGGATTCCCAACACATTCTATTATTTCTCATTTTCCATACTGAACAGGACACCAGAGAGAGGCTCTCTGATGGCAATGCAGGCTTCAGAGTGACCAAGTCACCACAAATCCTGAACCAGTTGATTTTAACCCATAGTGACCCTATATAAGCAAGAGTAGAATTGCTGGAGAGGATTTAAAGGTGGTAAATATTTTCTAGAAGCAGATTAACACCTTTTTCTTCTATGCAGTGATTTGTGGGTTTGAACTAAACTCCCCAGGATCTCCAGTCACAGGTAGGCACTTAGCCACGGTGCCACCAGGACACAGTCCAAGCACCTATAGTGTACAGGCTAGAAATGGAGAGAAAGACAGGGAATGACCTATACCCCAAACAAGACAGAAGCCAATCAGTTATGTTGGTCACTGCAGAGGCAAGTAGAAGGCAAAATCCTTCTAGAACTGCCTGTGGAAACATTCCAGGGAGAAGCTGGACAAATGGTCCAGGGCCAAGTCTCCAAGCTGCCCATCTCATCCTGAGGATGAGATCCCTGTAAAAGGGCAGGGACTCCACTGAGCTTTCTCTTCTCACCCTCTGTCTGGCCCAAAGCACCATGAACACTCACTGCCCTCAACTCAATTCCAAGGCATAACGATCCTCCATTGGGTTTCCAAGGCTGTGAATCTTAACCAGAGGAGACTTCTCATCTTTCTCTTTTACAGACACTGGTGGATTTGAATTGCCTAAACAAGGAGAATTATTCTCCACCCCTTCCTCCCCCCCCTCCTTTTGGCTTTGTGTCAGAGATAGTTTAAGGGAGATCTTAAGAAATATCAGTATAGAAGAAAAAAGTACAAAGATGTAAAAGAACAAAGAAACAGAATGAAAAGGAGTGATGTGGGAGGAGGAGTACTGAGAAATGTGAGATGAAGAAGGCGATTCTGCCTGGGAGAGTTCTGGGAAACAGGGGCACAGGGCGGTGTGGGGTCTATTTGTCCAGTCTCCAAATGTAGAATAGTGGGGATTAGGAAGTAGCCTTGCCTGTGGGCTGGCTGCTGCCTGTGCCCAGGGAACTCAGAGCAAATATGCCCTGATCCCCACATAAAGGGCCAATTAACTGCGCTGTCTCCAAGAACAAATCCGTTAACAGGGTGACAAGCCCCTAGACGCTGGCAGGCCTTGTGTTTGCTGAGAGGCCGAGAGGGAGCAAATCAAGGGATTAGGAGCAAGCAAGATCCACATGGTGGGACTTGGCTTCCTGTCTGCCGCAACCCCCTCAGTTTTGCTCAGCCCAGGGCAGCAGGCTTACCAGGGTTTCTCTCTGGGGAGACGGAGGCAGCGAGCACTGTCAGTAGGGGACAGAGCACCAGTCTCTGGGACCTGGGACCTGGAGGGTTAGGAGCAGATCAAATAGTCGTTTCCTTCTTTACAGAGGGTAAAGTGAGATCTGAGCAGTGACATCTTCTTGGGAATAGAGGATTAGGGCTCATTTCTGGGTTGGTCAGTCCTGAAGGACTTCTTGTGAGGGAATCAAACTTTATCCTCCTACCTCAGAGCAGCTTGGACCTGGAGTAAGGGACAGACACCAAATCTATCCAACGCCTCAGAATTCAGGTGGATTGAGGAAGTGCTTGTAGTGCTGAAAGAACAGCGCCCAGGTCCCTGCTTCCAGTTGGCTTTGCCAGCCTACTTAGTGCTTCTGTTCTTCCAAAGCCTCAGCCAGAGCTGAGGTGACGGGTAGGAAGTAAGTATCCCATAACTGAAGGATCCACAGCCAGCAGCATGTGGGCTAAGGGAGAAGACGTGGGACAGCCCCTTCATGCTGTGGTTCATGTGAACATTCTCTATGCTCACAGCTCCCCCCCCCCCAACATATGGAATGCTTCACAAATTTGCTTGTCATCCTTGCATAGGGGCCATGCAATCTTCTCTGTGTGATTCTTTAGTTTATGTGCTGCTGAAGTGAACACAACAGCTCAGCTTTTGACTCCACTTTGTCTGGAGTCTTTGATTGCTTAGTCCGGACTTCCATGAGTGTGTAGCACCGCTTCTCTGGACCTTGACCTTCCGACCTTCTTCAGAAGCAGCTATTTCAGAAAAGTTGTCACTTGACATGGAACTCCAGAGCTGAGGCAACATTCTGCCACTCACCCATCAGCAGGTCCCTAGATCCTTACCCCAAACAGAAACGCAGGAATCTATTCCCTACCCTCACTACCCCTCTCCAAAAAAGTGTGTGTGTTGGGTTGGTGGTGAGGGACTGAAAGTATTTAAGAAGACGTCTGAAGGGTGTAAGAGTTTTTCGATTGTTGGAGTTGAGGTTATTTTGTTTTCTTTTTCTTTCCTTTCTAAGATATGCTCAAAAACACATTTGTAGGAGTTTTGCATCAATCTCATGTGTCCTCTTGCACTATCATTTACAGAAGCAATACTGCTCTCTTTGTCTTTGTCCGGGGACCTTCTCATTTCCCTTCAGTCTTTTCAAAACAGTAAAGCAATTTAATAAAACATGCCAGTGCAGTGTATTGCAAAAGTATGCAAATACATGCAAGGGCTATGCAAATAAGTTCGAGTAGCCTGCATTTCCCGGGCTTTCTCCCTGCAGTCGGATCCCAGGCATTGTGGACCAGGACTCCCAAGTCAGGTGGTACCACCGCCACCCATGGGCTGCAGAACCAGGACTGGGACAAAGGGGTGGGCTCTCTGTGGCATTCTGTCCTTCTCTAACTCCTTCCTTCTCCACGCTGTCCAGCCTCCCTCCTCCCGTCACTAGACTCCAGGACTTGGGAGAGAATGAAGCGTGGGCGCCTAACTCCCCTTTAAGAGCTAGAGCAGTGTGCCTGTACTTTGCCTCAGTTTCTCTACATTCCAGGAGCTACCATTCAGACGGTAAAAGGACAAATGCCCAGTTCTGAAGTCGGTGGAAGGGCAGATCGGATAGAGCCTTCTCCAGCTTTCAACTTGGGGTGCTTTTGAGAAGACAAACACCCCTACCACGTCCAGAGCTGATGCGGGGCGCAGGGCGGGGACTCCAGCTCGCACTTAGCGCCTCTAGCTGCTGCCGGGCGAGCGCCCAACTGGTCGTGGGGCGGGTGGAGGTGAGAGGGTGGGGAGACTCGGTTAATCCCTTAATTACGCCGTGGTCCGCGAGGCACCTGCTTTCAGCCCCGCTCCCTCGGGGGCCCGGCGGGGTGGAGCGCAGGACGCAGGAGGAGGAGGGCAGCGCAGCGCGCAGCGGCCGGGCGAGCGGCAGGACAGCGGCACGGTGGCTGCGGAGGCGCGCGGAGGCGGTGGAGGGCCGCCCGGCTCCCCGCCCGCGGGGCTCGGACCCAGGGCGCGGGCCTGGCGCCCCCGGCCCGCAGTCCATGCGCGCGCCATGCTGCGCTACCTGCTCAAAACGCTCCTACAGATGAACTTATTTGCGGACTCGCTGGCCGGAGGCATCTCCAACTCTAGCGAGCTCCTCCTGGGCTTCAACTCTTCGCTGGCGGCGCTCAACCACAGCCTGCTGCCCCCCGGCGACCCCTCCCTCAACGGTGAGGTCCTGCTGGCTTGGATCTGGGGGTGGGGTGTGATGGGGACGGAAGGTTAGAGACGGAACAGGGGATTGTGGTGCAACGGCTTCTCCGGACGCTCCCGGGGGGGTTCCTGGAATCCAAGGACAATTTAGGGCCTCAGCACTTGAGAGCTTTAGTTTGGGGTTCAAGCATCAGCGGCAGGAAGAAGGTTCCAGAGGGGACCTCCACTTTTGAGCTGCCCCACACCCATCCCACAAGGAGGGATGGAGCCCCTCTGTCCTGAGCTCAGAGGACCTGGGCTCAGAGAGGGGTTCACAGGAGAGGCTCGGTCCCCACACTGAACACTTGTCCACCCAAGGAGTACAGCTTCCTTCGGGACCCGAAGTTTTCAGAAAACTCTTTGGGGTGATTGTGAGGGTGGCAGGATGTGTGTTTGCTACGGAGGGGGCAGGCAGCACGCTTGCCAGGGACAGTCCAAGGTGTAAGGAGGGACTCGCGGTGGTACTCCCTGGGCTGGGCCTTAGCGGGAGGCCAGCGCTGGCGGCGGCGAGGTCGTTACCACTAATTACAGTGATTAAGTGACTGGACCAGCGCTCCCCCTGCGCGCGCGGCGGGGAGGCCGGGAGGGCAGTTTTTGAGGAGCCCTGGAGAGGCGGGATCACTCCACTCCGCTCTTAGGCGCCTTTCCGGTGGTTCCCATTAAGTGACCTTCGGGCCTTCCCTCCGCTCGCCCACCATCCGGAGCTGTGAGAGGGGTCCCGGGCAAAGCGTGCTAGAAAGTTAGCCTGGGGAGGGGGGGACACTCCCGGTGTTGGGGGATAAGCTCCAGGGCCTCATTAGCATGGCCATTAGCTATTCATTAGGCTGATGTCGAAGTATCTCCTGAGACCTGGAATGACCGGGAAGAAATTCCAGGGTGGGGCGTTTGCAGCTGCTGTCTACAGGAATTAGGGGGAGAGGGGTGACCAGAAGGGGGAGGAGGGAGTCGAGAGAAGAGGCTGCGGAGTTAGGCGGGGATTCTCCAATCTCAGACCTCCCACATCCCCATGAGATTAAAGCCTTTCTCCGGGGCTTCCCTGATAATCACACCTCTCCCTCCCCAGCGCTTCGGCCGTGTGCTTCCCACTTTCCACGATCTCACACAAGTTTGAAATGTAGTGAAATGTGAGTAAGGTAGCTGCAGTCACGTTTTGCAGCTGTGAAAACTAACTCAGAGACTGAATGAAATCCTCTCCCCTCCTGGTCTTAATAGCGAGCTCTGCTGGCCTAGTTGTAAGAAGCTGCACTGCAATCCTGAAGACCTGAGGTTCAAATTCACTGGCTGCTCCAAGGGATGGGGGAAATCTCCTCTCTTGCGATTAAACTGCCCCTGAAAACCTGCTGGAGGGTCAGCTATAGGTCGATCCCAACCCAACTGGGCACAGTAACAACACCTGGGGGTTTTGTGAGAAGCTGGAGAGGAAGATATGGTAGTATTTTGTTGTGTTGTTCCTCAAGTCAGAACCTATAAAGGACCCTCTAGCTGGTTTTCTGAGGCAGTAAAACCCGGAGGGAAGACAGCCCATCTTTTCTCCCACAGAGTAGCTGGTGGCTTCGAATTGTGTCCCTTTGTGCTGGCAGCGCAACTCTTTACCATTAAGCCACCAATGCTCGCTAATGAGAGAATAATCCTATATAATAATCGTGATGTGTTGGTTATTAGCCTGTGGCTCACTCTTCTGCTTTGACACGCATAAATTGCCTTGAGTTGGAAGTTCAGTTGGTAACAATTGGCTGTTATTATTTCTTAAATCCGTTGCTTCACATACGTACCTAACAGGGGCTGCCGTGGCCTGGTCAGCAGACAGTTGCACTGGGAACCCAAGGCCGCGGCTCTCCGGTGGTTTGAATTCACCCTGGCTCCAGCACAAAGGTAAACAATCTCCTCCCATGCGATTCACAGCCTCAGAAAACCCACTGGAGAGTTTGCTGAGTTGGCTCCTACTAGGCAGCAATGAGTTGAGTTCAATATGAGTCCATGATAATCCTATTCACTCTCCCTCTTTATAGGTGGAAAAACAGACATAGAGAACTTAATTAATTTCCCCTAGTTCTTATTGCTAAAGAAGCATGAAAGCCTGAGGTTATGGTCCCAGTTGACTTAACAAGCCTAAGGCCTAAGCCGTGTTTGCATTGCCCACCAAAGGAGTCTAAATGGGCCCGAGATGCGATGGAAGAGAGGAGGTGAAGTAGAGAGATTTCCTTTTCAAAGTGGTGCAGTCCGCATGACTCTCAGCAGTCACAGCCCCGCACAGCCCTATGAGCTGAGTCTGTGTCCTCAGATCTGCGAGGAGAGGCGGGAAGATTAACCGGTCCTGCCGTGAGGCCGGGAGCTAGCGCTCGCTCAATGGCAGCGGAAGAGGCGGGAGGCCACATGGAAAGCAAGCGCAGAGACGCCCGCTTAGTGAAGGGCCGCAGAGTATTCGAGGCAGCAGCGACGCCTACTGGCCGCCACGCTTTACAAATCCACTTATGCTGGTTTTGGCTGTAAGCTAAGGAGCGCAGGTGGCTTGGTCCCTCACGGGCTGAGAGGCTAAATTCAAAGGCAGTGTCACTCTGGAAACTGGAATCCACAAGCCTCTCCTCCGGAGAAACGGGGTCAGTCTTCTCCTGGGCGACTTACAGCCTCTGAAAACCTGCTGGAGGGTCAACTGTGAGTTGGTTCCAACGACGGCAAAGGCTTTGAGGATCCTTAAAGTATGCAACAGAAGGCGAAGTGTGCATGAATCTATAGTCTTAGCTCCGTGAACAAGGGGCTCGCTCTTTCCCAGTGCTTCTCAGCCTTTCTTGGATCACCAGTCTGTAGACAATCTTCTAAAAAACTACGCACCTTCCAGGAAAAGGGAAATTTACTCATGTTCCCACTACCACTTCCATCCAATTACTTTGAAATCACAGGGCCTCTTTCCTACCAACAAACACCCGAAGCCCTTGCTCCCGATTAAGGTTGACCTAAAGCACTACTCTGAGCGCGCAGACCTTCCCTCCGTGCCACTTAGGCCAGTCCACAGTTCCCGTTCCGTCTGTCGGGGCTTGTGCTTTGGCCAAGAACCTAGTGTTGGCTCAGGTGCTCCGTTTAGGGTGTGTACTACACAAGGACAAAGGCGAGCGAGCCAGTGAGTGGAAGCCGAAGGCCAAGAGCGTTCAGGTCTCCCCGCACCTAGCCTCACTTGGAATTACATTCTCTGGAAGGTCGAAGGTCGGTGGCACTACCTCCGCCCCACCTCCCGCTGCTCCCCAGCCTCTGTTTAGCCACCAACACGTGGTTCAGGCAGTTCTCACTTAAACTTGGCTGGAGAGGATAAGGAAAGACTTTGTGTTCTGATTATTCATCAGTTAAGCCTGTCAATAGGCATCTCCATTAGAGAACGCAGGACATCTGCGAATAAGGGCAAACTGGAGCTCACAGAACAAAAGGGTTGGCAAAAGTGGCCAGACAGGATACACTTTGTCAGGTGAAGTATTCCGGAAACACAACAACGAGGTTTTCTTTCCTTCTGGCGCCTCGATCCCTCCCATGGGTTCCTAATCTGTATGCTTTGTGCCATCCCCCATTTCCATCCTCCCAGGGTCAAGGGTCGGGCCCGAGGACGCGATGCCACGCATAGTGGAGCAGCCGCCAGATCTGCTGGTGTCCCGAGGCGAGCCGGCCACGCTGCCTTGCCGCGCGGAGGGCCGACCCCGGCCCAACATCGAGTGGTACAAGAATGGGGCGCGCGTGGCCACCGCGCGTGACGATCCGCGCGCTCACCGCCTGCTGCTGCCCAGCGGGGCCCTCTTCTTCCCGCGCATCGTGCACGGGCGCCGCGCGCGGCCCGACGAGGGGGTCTACACCTGCGTGGCGCGCAACTACCTGGGCGCAGCCGCCAGCAGAAACGCCTCGCTGGAGGTGGCGGGTGAGTGTCCCCGCGTCAGCTGGCTGCTGAGGAACCCAAGAAGGAGGCGAAAGGACATGCAGCCATCGGACAGAACAAGTCCACATCTCAGCCCCCTCGTGGTCAAAGCTGGAGGTGGCACTGGAAGTTTAGATCTACAGGGGTTCCTCTCTCCCGAGGGCAGTGCTCCTGAGTCTCCCCCAGTTAAAACAGCCCAGTCGTTAGGTCCCATGCAAGTGTCTTCGACTCATCGCGACCCCGTGGCACTGAGCAGACGACTTTCACAGCGTTTTCTTGGCTCTAATCTTTAAGGGAAAGGCGCTCTGGTGGCCTCCTGCGCTGTTCCATTAGGCTCCTGTATCTTTGGCTGTTAGAATCCGCTGGTGGCTCTCAGGGAGGAAAATGAGCAATGTCTAGACTTGCAGCCTCAAGAGCCAGACGAAGGGTGGCTGGGAGCTGGCCTGCTCCACATCAAGAGGTTGGGAGGGTGGTGGTTGGGCTGGTTGGGCTGGGGAGGGGGGAGGGAAGAGAGTGGAGATCTTGACAGAAACAGATTCCAGGTTTTTCCTCCTGCAGAGTCGTGGCCGGGTTGGAGTCATCAACCTTTGGCTTGCTTACCCGAGCCTCTGCTACACCTTTCTCTTGCTCCCTCTCCAGTTCTGCGAGATGACTTCCGGCAGTCTCCTGGGAACTTGGTGGTGGCCATGGGGGAGCCAGCAGTGCTGGAGTGTGTGCCTCCTCGCGGCCACCCTGAGCCCACCGTGGCTTGGAAGAAGAACAGTGTGAGGGTCAAGGAGGAGGAAGGAAGGATCACGGTGGGTGAGAGGTGGAGCCCTGCTCTGACCGCGACTCTACAGTACCCAGCCGAACTGTCCCAAAAGGTTTTCAAGGCTGTAAAACTTTACCAAAGGATGTTGTGTGTACCATCTAGTCGGAATCGACTCATAGCTGACTCTCCAGAGGGTGTTGATAGGCAATTAATCCCACGAGAGGAGATGGCCCATCCTCCTATTTACAAAAGGATGGGGATGTGGAAATGGCCCAAAGAGCGCAGGCCTGGAATCAAGATCCTGAAGGGCCTGGGAATTCTGTCTTAATGATGATCAGGTCAGAGATTAGGTATAGGGAGTCAGCAACCAGAAACTTCAGAATCAGTTACTGAGTAAGGAATCAGGGGACGATGGAATTGGCATGAGTTGGGTGGGGAGCATGGTGCCCAGGCAGTAGTAGAAGGCCGGTTAGACTCCGAGAAAAAAAAAAAAAACAACAACAGAGAACAGTAGGCACATCCTGGACAGATTCCTTATGGGCCCACTTGCCTCACCTTCTTCACAGACTTACTGTGAGGATTGACTAAATAATATCTATCATGATTCCTCTGCAGATCCGTGGGGGGAAGCTGATGATGTCACATACACACAAGAGCGATGCAGGGATGTATGTGTGCGTGGCCTCCAACATGGCAGGAGAGCGAGAGAGCGGGGCAGCGGAACTTGTGGTGCTGGGTAGGCCTCCAGGGGAAGGCGAGGAGCTGGGCAAGCTGTAGCCCAGGGATTATCTAGCAAGACCCTTAACTACTCACTCACTTTGCCATAGAGCGACCCTCATTTTTGCGTAAACCAGTGAATCAAGTGGTCCTGGCCAATACCCCTGTGGATTTCCCATGTGAAGTGCAAGGGGATCCCCCTCCAAATCTGCGCTGGCACAAGGAGGATGGGGAACTGCCCCCAGGCCGGTGAGAAATCCCCTCCTTCTGCCTGTAAGGAGAACCAATCACCTCAAGAACCCACCCTGCCCTAGAGTTGGGATGCAGACACCCTGTGACTTGAGGGAGCAGAGAAATCTGGTTTCCCAAAGCCTGTGTCCCCATCTGTCTCCCAGTCCCTATCTCTCTCCATTCATGGGCCCATGAATACCAGCTTCTGTTTCTGTTGAGTTCTGCCTTGTCTTTGTGTGTCCTGACCCTGGTTTATGTTTTGGGGAAACCAAAAAGGGTCTGTAGCTGTGGCCAACTCAGACTGGGGGTGGGGAGTGGAGCAGGTATGAGATCCGGAGTGATCACAGCCTTTGGATTGAGCGGGTGAGTGCTGAAGATGAGGGGACTTACACCTGTGTGGCGGAGAACAGCGTGGGTCGTGCTGAAGCGTCTGGCTCTCTCAGCGTTCATGGTGAGGGTTCACTGGGGACAGCAGGGAGGGTGCAGAGGGGATGGCTGGTGGGTAGAGGTGTAGGAAAATGAGAGGGGGAGGACAGAATGGGAGATGGAGAGGTCACTTGAGTCAGGAAGGAGAGAGAGAAGGAAATAAAGTTAATCAGAATTGTGTGAGAGCTGAGTGTCTGCTCCAGCTACGGGTGGGTTCCCCTCTCCTCCTTCCTCAGTCTCCTGACATGCACTTCCTTTATGTGCCCTCTCCTTCCCAGTCCCACCCCAGCTGGTGACCCAGCCCCAGGACCAGATGGCAGCTCCTGGAGAGAGTGTAACTTTCCACTGTGAGACTAAAGGCAACCCCCCGCCCGCCATCTTCTGGCAGAAGGAGGGGAGTCAAGTAGGTGGCCCTCTCCCAGGCTCTTTTCTGCAGCTCCCTCTTCCTTCTGATGCTCCCCACAAACTTCTCTCAAGGATTGTTTCTGAATTTTAGTCCTCTCAGGAACTTTTGCAGGTCATCTGGTGGATTAAAATAAGATAATGAGTGTAAAGATCTGGCACATATCAGGCACTTGCTTTATAAAGCATAATGTTTGAGGTAGTAGAGAACAGGTTCTTCCCTGGAAAATTGTTTTTCTTTTGGACAAGAATGTCCTAAGGATGTAGCAAATTTAATTCATTCTCTCCCTGTCTCTGATCTCTTGAACTTGGACTTTTGGGGATAAAACATCACCAAGAGTGTTTCAGGGCAGAAAATGCCATGCTCTTCTACTTAATAGCTGACAAGGAATTCCACCAGGGACAGTTCCACCTCTCACAGTCATCCCTCTTCAATTTAAGCAAAGAATCTGAGAACATGGTAGAACTGAAGTGTTATCAAAAGTAACTCCCTCTAAAGGAAGGATGGAAGTCATGTTACTAGGAAACTCAAATTCATTGCTATCAAATTGGAACCAACCCTCAAGTAATTATTCAGAGGCTGTAAATCTCTGGGAAGGAGATTGCCCATCTTTTTGCCAAGAAGCCCCTGGTGGATTCAAGCTGCCAGAGAGATATTGCCTTTAGGCTAGCAGTGCACCCCCCTGTGGGCTTCATCACAGGGGGCTACCTGGTGTCCACTAGTAGGAAACTGGGCTGATATAATACAAGCATTATGATTCATTCCCATCTCTCTGGGGATTCTCATTCCAAATCCATAATTGTACTTTCCTAGCATTTTTTGTACCTTGGATTTTAATCAGATTATTTAATTACTTTTAAAATTAAGTAATTAATTTTAATCAGATTTTCTCATAAATAAAATATGGTGATTATAGTAATAGGGGATGAGAGTAGGTATCAGTCAGGGTGCCATTTGTCCTAAGGCCTGACTTATTTTCCAAGTATCTATATAATGTACACTTTTTAAGCCAGGAAGAGGGGAAAGAATTCAGCATTTAAACCACATTGTGCTAGAAGATTTTCCTATCATTTCACTTATCCTTATAGCTATTTTCAAAGAGTCATATTTGGGTAGATTGTTGTTTTTGTATACCATAGAGTCAGAACTGACCTATAGCTGAACCTCTGGTAGGTTTTCAGAGACAGTTAATTGCATGAGAGATTTCCCATCCTTCTCCTGTGGAGCAGCTGGTGGCATTGAACCATGTGCCTTCGGGATTGCAGCACAGCTTCTTGCCCCTAGGCCACCAGAGCTCCCTACATGGAGTGATTAGAGTTCTGGAAGTTAAATAGCTTGTTCAGTTTCCCAGCCAGTAAGTCACAGAGCTCAGAAGTGGAACTCAAAATCATCTAATAAAAACCCTTCATTTTTTTGTGAATAGGTTTAACTGGTTTGCCCAAGGTTATAGCTGGCTAGGGACAGACTGTAAACTAGAGCCTTCAGAATCCTCTGGCTCTTGGGGTTGATGGGCACCAGGAGGTCTTTTCCCAGCTGCCTCCTCATTTTCTACTTGGTTCCTTACCTCTGTCTGCAGGTTCTGCTTTTCCCTAATCAGTCGCTTCAGCCCACAGGGCGCCTCTCTGTTTCCCCGAGAGGTCAGCTCAGCATCACTGAAGTGCAGAGTGGGGATGCTGGCTATTATGTGTGCCAGGCGGTCAGTGTGGCTGGCAGCATCTTGGCCAAGGCTCTGCTGGAGGTAAAAGAAGGTATGTATCCATATGGATAGGGTGGAATCAAGCCTAGAGGATAATAATAGCATAAGGAGATATGTTGCTCCTGCATTTTAAATCATATCTGCAAGAGGAGAGGTATGTTTCCTAAGCTAATGAATAGCTGGTCACAGGCAGATGATTACAGAAGTTTTCTCTGATTCCTGGGGATGAGCTGAGAGAGAATGAGGACCAAGAGGCTTATTTCCTGTATCTAGAATCCTTTCTCAACTACCCAAGTTCTTCTTTTTCTCAGCATCCTTGGATAGGCTGCCTCCTATCATCCTCCAGGGACCAGCCAATCAAACGCTGGCACTAGGCTCTGCTGTGTGGCTGCCATGCAGAGTGACAGGAAGTCCTCAACCCAGTGTCCAGTGGAAGAAGGATGGGCAGTGGCTGAAGGAGGATGGCCTCCGGCTCAGCCTAATGACCAATGGTACCCTGTATATTGCCAATGTGCAGGTGAGGCTCTCCACCTGGACCCTGTGTTATTAAGAGTGCCACCTGGTCCACATTCCCAACTCCAGTGAGTACCCACTGGGACTCTCATCATTTCTACCACTCTGCATCCTGTGATTACTCCTTCCCATCCCTCTGCCTCCTTTCAAGAAAGCCTGCAACATCTTCTCATCCTTCTATAACCTGCTTCTACTCCTTTGGCTTCTGTTGGATTTGTCCTTTTGCAGGAGACAGACCTGGGATTTTACAGCTGTGTAGCCAAGAGTTCTACAGGGGAAACCACCTGGAGTGGCTCACTTCGGACTCAGGGTGAGTTTTTATCTATTCCCTTGTTTTATCTTTGTGCCTTTCTCTAAATCTGCTTCAAAGGCAGTCATTCTCTTCCAAGAGCCCTGGCTTGATTTTATCTTCCATGTGCCAGTTGTTGGGGATGAGAAGGGCAGTAGTGACTCCCTAGGAGGCAGGTGTGAGTAGGGATTGGGCTACCGTGCCTCTCTGTCCACCATCACTGCTGCCGTAGCTCCTCTGGGAAGGAGGCAGGTTATGCTGGGAAACTCCTTGTTCCAGTCTCCTATTCTAAGAGTCCTTCCTTACTGCAGAAGACTGGGGAGTATCATCAGAACCCCCTGTAGAACCTAGCAGTCTCCCGGGGCCTCCTTCTCAGCCAGTGGTCACTGAGGTCACGAAGAACAGCATCACCCTGACCTGGAAGCCCAACCCAGAGGCTGGGGCCACAGTTACCTCTTACGTGATAGAGGCCTTCAGGTATGGAGAAAGTCTGAATGCATGACTGGAAAGCCAAAGAGCAGGGCCTTTGTGTCCTTTAGGTCTTTGCTATTGTGAGGACTCAAGGATTTGCTCCCCGAGGTGAGGGCAGGAGGGTTCATTGGGAATAGATGAGATGAGGTAGACAGATTGGAGTTTCCTGGTTTCTATAACTCTGTCACCTCATTCCTTTTGCAGCCAAGCTGCTGGCAACACGTGGCGGACAGTGGCTGATGGCGTGCAGCTGGAGACACACACGATCAGTGGCCTGCAACCCAATACTGTCTACCTGTTTCTGGTCCGAGCTGTGGGGTCCTGGGGTCTCAGTGAGCCCAGCCCTGTCTCAGAGCCTGTCCGCACTCAGGGTAAGGTCAGAGTCCTCATCCCCCCACCAAACCACGGCACCGTGGCAGCTTGTAGATTTGTTTCTTGCCAAGGTGATACTGATAATGTTGTTGTTGTTATGTGCCGTCGAGTCACCTGCGACTCATAGCGACCCTATGTACAACAGCCCTAAACTCTGCTCTGTCCTGTGCCAATCGCACTCTCTCTGACACTCCCATCCCAATTATCCCAATCACTGAATCAATCCACCTCATAGAGGGCCTTCCTCTCCTGCGCTGTCCCTCCACCCTCCCAAGCATGATGTCCCTCTCCAAGGACCAGTCTCTCCTCACAACATGTCCAAAGTATGTTAGACTGATAATAGACTTGGAATATAAGGCTATGGTAGAGACTTACTCATCTTTTATGGCTTCTAACTTCAGTGCCTTTCACACAAAACAAATGGAGATTATTTGGAGCTCTGGTAGCTTAGCGATAAAGAGTTGTTCTGCCAACACAGAAGCAGGTGGTTCAAATCCAGCAGCTGCTCCACAGGAGAAAGCTAGGCATTCTCCTCCTGTGGGATTTACTGCCTCTGAAAATCCACTGGAGGGTTAGCTATGAGTCGGTTCTGACTCGATGATACATAACAACATAATAACGGAGATTATTAAGACTAGAATAGACCACAGAGGGGTAAACTTCGTGTCAGGATAAAGAATTGAGGCCTGGAAAGAATATTTAGGTATGCAGAAAGAGCACTCAGGTAGCAGGAAGTCAGGCTCACTTACTCTCCTGACCAACCACTTCCAGACCCCAGGGACTAAGTAGTACATGAAGTATGTGAAAATAGGACACAAACTATTCTCAGTCCTGTCTCTGTCCCTGCTGGTATCTGCTAAGTGGACTCTTTGGCCAACAGACAGCAGTCCCTCCAGGCCTGTAGAAGACCCATGGAGAGGCCAGCAGGGACTGGCTGAAGTGGTTGTGCGAATGCAGGAGCCCATAGTCCTTGGGCCCCGAACCCTGCAAGTGTCCTGGACAGTAAGTGTGACTCAGGGATGAATAAGGGCAGGGATAATGATGCAGGATATGGGAGTTTCTGAGAACGAGAACAGGTTGTGGGAGAGTGTGTGGCTGGAGAAGGCAAGCAGAAGAGGGGCTGAGTCTGGAGGACTAGTGTGCCCACCTTCTGGCATGCTTTTCTCTATTACAGATAGATGGCCCAGTCCAGCTGGTCCAAGGTTTCCGGGTGTCCTGGAGGATCGCAGGCCCTGATGGGGGAAGCTGGACAGTGCTAGACCTAGAGTCTCCAAACCAAAAGAGTGCTGTGCTAAGGGGACTCCCCCCAGGAACCCAAATCCAGATCAAGGTGCAAGCTCAAGGCCAGGAGGGGTTAGGGACTGAGAGCCCCTCTGTGACCAGGAGTACTCCTGAAGAGGGTAAGGAGGGTCTGACGGATGGACAAGAAGGAAGAGAGAGAAGAAGAGAAAGTGTGCTGGGGAGGGCATGGGCTAGCTGTAGGAAAGGGGTGCCTCTCACTTTCCTAGGATGTTAAAATAGGCATGGGGAGGGTGCAGGCATGCCAGTAAAGTGGGTAATGACTATCTATGTCCACCCTGGCCCAGCCCCCAGTAGTCCCCCGCAGCGAGTGTCAGTGACCTTGGGAAGTGATGGCAATGGCAGTATCACTGTGTCCTGGGAACCTCCACTCTTCTCTCAGCAAAATGGGATCATTAAGGAATACCAGGTATGGGGTTTGAGAAAGGACTGAGTGGGAGGCCTGGGGCAGGCAGGGAGAGATAGGACTCAAAAGCTAAGAAATCCTCTGGTCTGGAGGTTTGAATCCACCTGTAGCTCCTCAGGAGAAAGATGGGCAGTCTCTGCTGGTTTGTAGCCTGGGAAGCTGGATAGAGGGGACTTATGAGAAGGAACTCACACCACAGCTGTGAGCAAGTGAGGAGCCTTGGTGGCACAGTGGGTCAAGCACTGGTTTCTAATCAGAAGTTCAGCAGTCTAAAGTGGTGAAGTCTGTGGGTGAAAGATGAGACAATGTGCTTTCATTAAAATTTACATCTCAGACACTAGACTCCCTGGAGGTGATGTGAGTCAGAATCAACTCAGTGGGTCAGGCCTGGTTCTGGAAGCCTTTGTGAGGAGCCCTCAATGGGACAGTCAGTTAAAACAGTAACTAACAAAACAAAAAAGGTCAGCTGTTCAAACTGCTCTGGGAGAAAGATGAGTAAGCTTCTGCAAAGATTACAGCCTTGGGAACTTGGGAGTATGACTTTGATCTGTAGGCTCACTGTGAAAGACCGGGTAGCAATGAGTTTGCTACCACCCACTTCTCTGAGGGAGAAGGATGAGCAGTCTCCTTCCATGCAATTTGCAGCCTCTACAAACCCTATAGATCAGATACGAGTTGGTTATGATTCAACAGCAATAAATTGAGTGAGTAAACCCTTTCTGGTGGCACAGAGGTTAAACACTGAATGGGAGTCACTCAGCTCTTCTGCAGGAAGAAGGATTTGGTTCTCTGCTTCTCCAAGATTCTGAGCCAAAAAACTTGTGGGACACAAGATTTGGTCACATGAAACTCCTGTTATCATTATGTATCGAGCTGACCTTTCAAAGAGCTTTTAGAGGTGGTCAATCGCACGGGAGGAGATGGTCCATCTTTCTCCCACTGAGCAGCTGGTGGATTAGAACCGTGTGCCTTTCGGTTAGCGCAGCACTAGGCCACCAGTGCCCCTAGTAGAGCTCAATCCCACATCACTTCCCAGCAAGACCCCTTCACATTCTGAACCATCTGTGCCCGTGTTGGGTCAGGATGCTCTTTTGCATCTCTGAGCCCGCTCTCCCGCCTCTTAGATCTGGTGCCTGGGCAATGAGAGTCGCCTCCACCTAAACCGGTCTGTGGCGGGCTGGGTACGCTCCACCGTGCTCCGAGGCCTGCAGCCGGGCCTCCTCTATCGGACCCAGGTGGCAGCGGCCACCAGCGCTGGCGTGGGTGTGGCCAGTGCCCCGGTGTTGGTGCAGCTACGTGAGTGTAGAGGTGGAGGTGGGAGTCTGGAGTGTCAGGGAGGGCGCCACCCCGATTCCGGTTCCCAGGTCCCTTTTCCCTCACTTGTCTGACCCCCCACAGCATCCCCGCCGGAACCGGAGCCGGGGCTGGAGGTGAGCTCGGGGCTGGCTGAGCGGCTGGCGAGGGTGCTGCGGGAGCCTGCCTTCCTTGCGGGCAGCGGAGCTGCCTGCGGGGCGCTGCTCCTCGGGCTCTGCGCTGCCCTCTACCGGCGGCAGAAACAGCGCAAGGAGCTCTGTCACTACACAGGTGAGAGCTTGGACCGGGGCGGGACATGACAGGGCGGGACCTATTGGGGATTGGGCGGGGCCTAAAAGGGGTGGGACCTCAGGACGTCACGGTCAGGACCTGAGCCCTGGGAGAGGCATTGGCGGGACCGCCGCAGGGCGGGGTCACCTCACCGAGGGGGCGGATCGTGCCTACAGGGACAGAGGGAATGGGCGGAGTCAGGGTCCCAGGGGCGGAGTCTTAGTGGGAGGGCGTGGTCTGCTGAACGGAGGAAGCCTGAGTTCTGCATTCCAGGAGAGGGAGATTCTGGGTTTTCTGAGGTCAGTGGTTCTCACTCTTGGCTACACATAGGAATCAGCTTTAGAAAAATAATGAAGCTCAGCCCCCAGAAATTCTGAGGAAGCTGGTTCAGGTTGCGGCCTGAGTGGTGGAATGGGATCAGGGTTGAGGAGTAGACAAGAATATCTGTATTTCTGAGCCTTCTCCCATTTCCCCTTTTCTTTTCCCCATCTGTTGCTTTTCGGAAGCCTCCTTTGCTTACACACCGGCAGGTAAGCCATCTCTGCCCATGGGGTTCAGACCCCAAGAACAGGTTATTTTTCTAACCTCGTCACCTCCTCATCTTCCCCAGTGTCCTTCCCACACTCAGAGGGCCTTTCTGGAGCCAGTTCCAGGTAATTTTCTTAACCCAAGCATAGTTCTATTAACAAGGAGACCCCTTTCCTTCCTCTCCAGGACTCTGTCTGTCCCATGCCAACCATCACTCACCTCCCATCCCAAACACTACCATGACTGCCTTGCCTCTGCTGGCCTCTTTGAGCTCTCCACCACCAGAGTTTACATGCTTTCCCTCAGGCCACCCAGAGGCCTTGGCCCTGCCCCTTACCCATGGCTGGCAGACTCTTGGCCCCACCCATCTCGAAGTCCCTCAGCCCAGGAACCCAGGGGAAGCTGCTGCCCCAGCAATCCTGACCCAGATGACAGATACTACAATGGTGAGGAGTTTTCATTCCCTAAGGGCCCCCTGAAATTCCAGCACCCTTTTCTCCTGTCAGCATCCTGGGGCAGCCTGAAGGGAACTGAGAAGCCCCACTTTTGCTGAGTTGGTCAGTGCTTGGGGAGGCTGTGAGTCAAGGAGACTTAACTGCTCTGAATGCCCTAGTTTGGGGGCTTGGGCTGGGGGAAGAAACTAATCCAGTAGGGCCTCCTTTTGCCTTCCATTCTTTGGTTGTCCCCTATCTTCTATTCTTGCCCCTGGGTCCCCCTTTTTCTTTTCCACAGAAGCAGGGATCTCCCTGTACTTGGCCCAGACGGCCCGGGCTCCTGCGGCTCCTGGAGAGGTTCCTGTTTACAGCACCATTGACCCAGCTGGGGAGGAGCTGCGGACCTTCCACGGGGGCTTTCCCCAGCAACCACCGGAAGATCCAGGCACCTGGAGTCAGTATGCGCCTCCAGAATGGACCCAGGGGGACGGTGGTACGACTCCAAGTCATAATACTGATTTAGTCCTAACCAGAGTTGCCCCTAAAAACTTCTGCTTCTGCCCAACACTTTTTCTGGTTCTTCTCTGGCTCTTTCCTCTATGACTTCTGCTTTCTTAAGGAGCCAGGGCAGGCAAAGTGAAGCTTCTGGGAAAGCCTGTGCAAATGCCCTCTCTGAACTGGTCAGAAGGCCTGCCACCACCTCCCCCTTCCTGTGAACTGAGCTGCTTAGAGGGTCCTGAGGAGGAGCTGGAGGTGGGGTAAGGAAACTGCCCCCCTCCCAGCCTTCATAATAGGGTCTGCCATCCCCTCCAGGGCAAGGCATTGCTGTTGGGAAAGGAAGAAAACGGGGCAGCAAGAAAGCTGAGGGGAAGGTACAGAAGCTATCTGTCCGACCCTATTCTCATGCCTGTTTGCCCCAGCTCAGGGCCAGAAGAGTGGTGCCCACCAATGACCGAGAGAAGCCAGTTGGCAGAGGCCAGCTCCAGTGGACAGTGCCTGGTCTCCTCATCCAGAAGGGAAACACCCTCTCCCACTCCTTCCTATGGACGGCAGTCTACAGCCACTCTAACCCCTTCACCTCCTGACCCTCCCCAGCCACCCACTGACATTCCCTGCCTGCATCAGATGCCCAGGTAGGGGAGGGTGTATATAGTCTTCTGTGAATAGATAGACCTGGTAATGAGGTCTCAGAGCTGGGTCAGGGTAGAAGTGAGATTTGGGAAGGGCAGTGGGGGCTGACAAAGTCTCCCACTGTCTTCAGACTGGCTCTCTGTTGGAGGGACTCTTCACGTTTCACAGACATAGTACTCCTCAAGTGTCACTAGCTTAGGACTTGAAGGAGAAGAGGTGGCATCTTGTTTACTTGAGTATTGGCCTGAGGCTCTAGCACCTGCCTGGTGCAGTGATATTGAGTGAACAAATGCAGAGGCCTCATGTCATTGTAGGAGGGCACCCTTGGCACCAAGCTCCCCTCTCAGTGCCTCCCAGCCCACTCTGAGTAGCCATGAAGGAGGACTTGCTGGGCTGGGTGCTGGCCCCACGGCCTCTCATCACCTCAGCCCCAGCCCCGCCAGCTCAGCCAGCAGTGCCCCTGGTGAGTCTGTTAAAGCCCCATTATTTCTACTTCCCAGGCCCCTGCCCTGGAATTTTTGTCTCTGAGGCTTTCTTCTCATTCACCCTCAGGTTCCTTTCTCTGTGTTGTCCCTTACTTACCTATTTCTCTCTTAATGCTGCAGGGAGAACCCGGCAGGTACCTGGGGAGATGCCTTCACTTCAAGGACCCAGGGCTCGATTCTGGAAGAAGCCCAAGGCCCTTCCTTATAGGCGGGAACACAGTCCTGGAGGTGAGGTGACAATGAGTCTGGGAGTGGGGACAGTCAGTAGAGGGAAAAGACTGAAAACCACAAGTAAGTTCTGGAGGCTGGAAGAAGGGGGCAGGAAAGTTAAATCTAAGACTGTTCATCTGCAGCTTCAAGGTTCCTGGGGACAGGGGTGGGAGGAAAAGTAGTAGCAGGAGAAGCAGGCGACTCTGCTGAATACAGGCTTCTCTTTAGACTTGCCACCCCCACCCTTGCCTCCACCGGAGGAAGAAGCTAGCTGGGCCATGGGGCTGAGAGCAGCAGGCAGCGTCTCCTCCTTGGAGCGGGAGCGCAGTGGGGAGAGGAGGGCAGCGCAGGCAGCAGCTCTGGGCAGCCAGCAGTGCTCGCACCAAGATGGTAAGTGAGCAGGGAGCTGGACTTTGGGACTAGAGGCTGGAGGTAGTGCAGGCTGTGCCACTGATGGATTTCCTTCCCAGCTCACCCCTGTGGGCCTGCTCTGGAGGCCTTCTTCCAATGTTGTTGTTGTTGTGTGCCGTTGAGTCACTTGTGACTCATAGCGACCCTATGTACAACAGCCCTAAACTCTGCTCTGTCCTGTGCCAGTCGCACAGTCTCTGACACTCCCATCCCGATTTTCCCAGTCACTGAATCAATCTACCTCATAGAGGGCCTTCCCCTCCTGCGTTGTCCCTCCACCCTCCCAAGCATGATGTCCTTCTCCAAGGACCGGTATCTCCTCACAACATGTCCAAAGTATGTTAGAAGGAGGAGGTCAAATGTGAGAAGAAAGGGATTGTGGTGCCCTTTCCCTCCTTTTCAGAGGATGTCTCTTTAGCTATTGCCTCCATGTTCCTAAGCACGTCTGATGCCAAGTTCGGGTGCTGACCCTCTATTTCTCTGGTCTACGGCATGCATCTGTCCTCTGCTCTTCTCCTGGAGCTGAGATTGTGATCAGGGGAAGCAGGTGGGGAGCACCGATGTCCTGTTCGCTACCTGTGCCCCACTCCTCTTCTCTCTTATGCAGCAGAAGAGTCTTGGTCCCCATACAGCAGGCCGAGCTACCTGTCCCGGGGTCAGGGCACCAGCACTTGCTCCACAGCTGGCAGCACCTCTTCACGAGGTTCCAGCAGCTCTCGGGGTTCCCGGGGCCCAGGAAGGAGCCAGAGCCGGAGTCGGAGCCAAAGGCCAGGACAGAAGCGTCAAGAGGTAGGGGTTAGGATTCACATGCATGTGGGATGAAGGGCTATGGAGAGTGGGCCAGAGGAGTCCTTGAAAAACAGGGAAAGAGAAAGGATCTTGGAGAAGAAAAGTCTAGTTAAGAAGGCATCCTGGAGAAACAGTAATGACAAAATGATGCATAATGGATGATTCCAGACTATCCATCCCCTGCCTCTAGATATAGAGAGGGTAACATGTTTGGCCCCCTCTGTTGTGATACCAGAAGAACTAGGTGGTGCCTGACTACCACTTCCAAACACTTTGATCAAAGATTTCATAGAAGAATCTCCATCAAGAGAGGATAAAATGTAGAACAGAACTTAAAATTCTCATGGACTCTAGACTTTCTGAACTCTTGAACCTAATCCTTAAAGCTTAAATAAAACATTTCCCCTGAAGTTTCCTTAAAACCATAGTTTAACTGATTTTTTTTAAAAAGTCTACCTTGAATATTATGCTCTTTAAAGAACTATCTATATAAGATCAATGTGACAACAGGAACTTGATTAGATTCAGTGGGAGCCTTCAGAAGCAGAATGGTCACACACTTCAAAGAGCGTAATTAAGTAGTGACATGTAGAAAGGGTGTGTGTAGTCATCTCAACAGGTACCCCTTTAGAGAGTGGTTCTACTGTGACATCCATGGGATTACCAGGAGTTGGAGTCATTTCAGTGGAGCCTTGCACAGGCACTGGGCTCTCCACAGGAGAACTGGCCCAGGAGGAAGGCTGAAGTGAAGAGACACTTACTCTCCTGCAGCCTGTTTGATCTGGGTCAGGGCTTGCCCATAAGCCTCGCTTCTCTTTCTTTCTAGGAACCGAGATGACCCATGATGAGAAGATGAGGATAAGAGGAATCCCAAGGGGAAGGGGTGTGTCTGGGCCCAGGGCCCACGAGGAGACCTTCACCTTGGTAAATGATGCTGTGAGCCAGGAGGAGTAGGAACTGGCCCCTCTTTCACTCCTGGCAATGACACACCGACTCCTGAGGTCACTGAGGAGCATGCTTAGAAGCCACAGAGCACAGCTCTTCCCTTCCATTGCTTTCTGAGCAAAGCCCGCTTGTAAAAAGGAGAATAAAGAGCCTTCTCAGAGCCCACATCCTCTCTGTCTGGCTTTGTGCAGGAAGTCAGGTGGAGGGGGCTGCATGATACTGTGCATCAGTGCACACTAGTAGCTTTCACTCCCTTTTGGATGTCTTCTATTCAGAGCACCAGTGAAGATAGAGCCACAGACACACAGACCTGTGCTACCTCTCAAAGAAGCTAGAGCCTGCTATTTCCAGTCACAACTATCCAAACTTTCCACACAGCCCATAGTGAGACACTTGTCCCAACTCTGTGCCCTCTCTTAGGCACTTCTAACTTTCCTATAAGGAAATATGCCTTTAATAGTAATAATAATAATAATAATAATAATAATAATAATAATAATTCCTTAATATTCAAAGAAAGGAGTTTGTAGGGTAAGCCTGGGAAAGAAAGAACAGGCTTTTTTAGACAGCCTGACCCTCTCAGAGGATTTGTGCAAACTTGAGGCCCAAAATGAGTGGTCTGGCTGGCACAATGGGTCTGGCTGGTATAGTAGTTGGGCCGTGAATGCCGTGGTCTCTTTTGATACCTTACACATAACCCAAGCCCCTTGTTGCTTCCTGGTTGCCTGAAGAAGACATGAGTCTGGGGCTCCCACTCCACAGAATATTGGCTGCTTTGTGCTGTGCCTCCTTGGCTGTCTGGAACTTTAGGGAGCAGCTTGTTTACCCTCCAAGCCCAGCTTTCTGATCTCTCTCATCACTTTGGCCAAAGTATAATTCCTCATTCCCCTTATGTGTGACAAATGAAGTTGAAATGTTTTCCAAAGGGACTTTACCAGAAAACAAAAAGAAACACGAAATGAAGAAAAAGGAAATAGAAGCCACAGATATCTGTTTGGAGCACACTCTTTGCTTTGACATCATGAAATCCAACCCCAGGATGCCTGGCCCGCATAGTGAGAGGCACCTCTCCCCTGAACCCTATCATTTACTCTTAACCCAGGACTTCCACATAAAGCTTCCAGGTTTGGGGGACGGGGAGAGGGTGTTAGCACTGCTTTTCAGAGCTAGCTCCCTAATTACCTTTTTCCAAAGTGTTTTCCTGTGGTGCTGGCCATCTGGTCATGGCCTGCATCTTTCTCCACTCAGTCTGTGGATTTTGCCCTGATCTTTCCCACTGAATGAGGAAGTCTCCTGTCTCCTTGTCCTCCATAGCCTCCTGTGGCATCCAGGGTTCTGGGACCCCTAGAAACAGCCCACCCCTTCACTGTTGTTATGTGCCCTTGAGTGGGAACTGACTCAAAGTTCACCTCCAGAGCGTTTCCAGAGGTTGTATATTACATGGGAGAAGATTGTTTATGTTTCTCCTGTGGAGCAGGTGGTGGATTTGAACCACTTGCCTTTGGGTTGGCAGTGCTCTCACTTACCTACTGGACCAGACCAGCAGCAGTGGAAGAGACTAGACCGGTGTGCGAAGGGTGTTCATTAGCTGGTGGCCTAATGGATAAGGAGTTGCACCACCAACCCAAAGGCAAATGGTTCAGGTCCACAGCTGCTCCTTGGGAGAAAGATGGGCAGTCTTCTCTCATGCAATTTATAGCCTCTGAAAACCTGCTGGAGGGTCAGCAATGAATTGTTTTAATGGCATGCAACAAGTAAAACCCTTTTTTTGGATGTAGCTACTTTGACAATTTGAAGAAACCCTCTGAGGCTGTTCTTTGGGGTAGGGTATACTGGAACTTCTAAAAGCAGGAGTTTCCTCCTCAGGATAACGTCCCAACACGATCAGTCCCTGAAAATCTTCTACTCTGATAAAATCTGATGGATACATGCAGTTTCCTCTTCAACTGCAAAACAGAAATAAGTGGCTCTACTCCCTGTGTGTTAATGAATGTTTAATCCTGTTCTGAGTCAGGTACCTCTTCCCATGTGCCAGGCTTTGTCCCCCCAAAATAGAGAGTGATTTAGAAGACAATCTCAGAGAGTTTAGGTTGTTTTACAATACTAAATTCTCTAAGATCTAGTGGTAAGGGGTTGTGCTTCCAACCCATAGGCTGATGGTTCTAATCTACCAGCTGCTCATTAGGAGAAAGGGAGTCTTCTGTGCAATTTACAGTCTCTGAAAGTCCATGGGAGGTTCACCTATGAGTTTTTTCTGACTTGACATAACACCACCACCACCATCACAGCAATAATGCTATAGTGGCAACAGTATGAAAAGGATGTTTTTGTGCCCCATTCGATCCCTTCCCACTTTCAGCTTCCTCCCCAGACCAGCCAAGATCCCAGCTCAGCCTCCACAGCATTGGTTCTTGTTTCACTTACGTGGAAGGTTGGAGAGAGCACTGTGGCACTGATTCTGGTAAGACTGAGGGCAGAGGCTCAGAAAAACTCCTTGATCCACAGCCCCCTTCCTGACAAGTACTACTGTCCTCCAGGAAGACCCCTGTGGCCCCGACTCTGAAGCACATAGGGAGATTGGGGGAGAGGCCTGTACTTCAGGCCAAAAGACTTGGTACAAAAAAAAAACCCTGCGAGTGATGTGGAGATAATTGTTAAAAATGTATTCTTTTTATTATGTGATTTGAGTGAAAGTTTACAAACTTTAAAAAAGTTTACAAAGTTTAAAAATGGTTCTTCATTCAACCGTTCATACATGTTTTATAACATTAATTATAATGCTCAAAACATAATTATACGTTTCCCACTTACTGCTATTTGGGTTTCCATTAATCTTTCTGTGAGATTTCTTCCTGGCTTCAGTGTTTTATCCTTTTACCATATAGTCTTGTCTGCTGTTTGACTGAAAATTGAGTCACAGCATTGAGTCTTGTTTCAGGTTTGATGGGTGACTAAGGGCCATTGTCTCAGGTGTACATCAGTCTCTGGCAGTAAGCATGGCTGTTTTCACATTTCACCCCACTCTATCCAGGCTCTTCTGTGACACCTTTAAGAATGGTCAGTGGAGGTGACTGGGCACCATCTAGTGCCTCTGGGTCATGGAGGTTGAGGTTTTGTGTTCCTCAGGACTCTAAATCTGCTTTGCTCTTACTTTGTTTTTCTTTCTTTGGTGTTCACAGTCCTGGAGGGAAAGCTCTCCTGGAGGTGGGAGAAAAAGGAGACCCCAACTGCAGAGAGAAGCACAGGCCAAGACCCAAATTCCACAGCCCAGGCCTTGATGGGAGGGTGATTTCTGATGTGCTGCTTGCTATTCTCAAGGCACTGTTCATTGGGCGTCTACAGGAGAAGGTCGAGAGGAGAGTTGTTCCTCATGCTGTTTTCTCCCCTGTGAATCTCCAAGCTTCCTCTTGGTTCTACTCTATTCCCCTCCTGTTGAATAGACCACATCAGCTGGGCTCATGAACACTCACCTCCAGCCTTGGGTGTAGGATAGCCAAATCCATGTCTCTGAGAAGAGCCCTGGGATGTAGGGGGCCATGGTGGAAGCCCCTTTCCCAGCTGTTGGATGTAATAGTTCTTGTTCTCCATGTCCTCCCTGTCTGACTTCCATTCCCACATAGGCAGTGATAGGCTTGAGGTCAGGAAGAGATCATCCCGGGGGGAAGGTGGTAATGAGGCATCTGTCAGTAAAAGCAGACGTGTGTGTGTGTGTGTGTGTGTGTGTGTGTGTGTCTGTGTGTGTGTGTGTGTGTATCTCTGTGTGTGTGTGTGTGTGTGTGTGTGTGTCTGTGTGTGTATTCACCTTCAGCCCTAGGGACCCATTTAGGGCAGCTGACCCATGCACACACTTAGCCCTAAAGCTAATCCCAACTCAGCCATCAATCCTGGTGGCTATAGTGCTAAGGGCTCCAACTCTCACAAAAAGAGAAATTGTTCCTTGATCTCTTTAGAGTGGATAGCTCAAACTATTTCTTTCCAGCCTAGCTCTGACCTTCTCCCTTGTTTCTCTCTTATGGGCTCCTTTGTCTTGAATGATCCTTGCCCTCAAGTTTGCCACAAACCTGGCTACTTTTCTTTGGGGCAAACGGTGAAGTAAGGTTGGTGAGATAGGCATGGGAGTATGAAGGCAACATGGGGATATGCAGAGTGGGCACAGCAGGCCTTTCTGCCCGTGTAGAGGTAGTGGCCACACTGTGCTAGCTATACAAGGATGCGAGTCTAGCTGCTCACCAACTCAGCCACTGACAGGGTGAGAGGAAAAGTTTGAAAGTTTCAGCGGAAATAGAAGTTCCTGGTATTGAGAAGACCTATGAAACACTGGATTAAACAGAAGAGCCAATGGAACAACATCCCTGAAGTCCAGCTCTAGATAAGAAGTCAATGTGGATAAGGCAGAGGATTGAACAGTATAATTGACTACCTCCAGGCTTTAGAACAATTTGTTTCCTATTGAGTGATCTTGGGCAAACTAACAACCCTATCTTACAATGTCCTCATTTGGAAAAGAGGAGTAAAGAATATCCCTCAAAGAGTTGTTAATATTAATGTAAATAAAACATGTATCACTGTGTCTGGAACATTAATCATCTATGAAGGTGGTAATGATGCAGGTGATTAGGAAGTTCTGCCTTTTTTTCTGGGAAGAAGGGACAATTTTCTCAGAGCTATGCCTACTTCAAAGGTGTGAAAATGAAGGGTAAGATGGGGTGACTTTGCATACCAGTGAAGACACAGTCTGCCTCCTTGAGCTCCAGACCAAGGCCGAAGCTGTCCACAGCCACTGCCAGAGCCCGGGCGAAGTGGGCATCGGCGAGAAAGGAGCCATCCGAAGAACTGACGAGGCTGGCTCTGGCGCTGGGGACATTATCCTCAGAGGCCGAGCCCCAGCCGTTGGCTAAGGAGCCCTCGCTGGGTGTAGGAGTAGGGCAGGGCCGAGGGGGGCACAGCAGTCCTCCTACCTCAGCCCCTGCCCCTCCCCCAGCCCTGCCCATATCTGCTAGCTCTGAAGCTGTGGGAACACTGATGTACCCGTAGGTGACAGGGGGTGATGGAGCCCTTGGTACAGGTGAGACACTGTTCCTGAGAAGAGACAAAACAGGAGATAGAAAGAGGGTTAAGGTGGAGTATGGGGAGGGATCTCTGGTGGCTTAGTGGCAAGGAGTTGCACTGCTGATCCAAAGGCACGTGGTTCAAATCTACCAGAAGTTATGCAGGAGAAAAGATGGGCAATCTCCTCCTACATGATTTATTACTTCTAGAAACCCACTAGAGCATCAGCTATGAATTAGTTCCAACTTGATAGTATATTACAATAGGGTGGACAGCAGAAGCATTCCAGTTGAGGCAGTGGTGGGTATGCCCCTGCATATATGCCTGTCTACAATTCTCTGGATATCCCTCAGATCACTCACCTGGGGGTCTCTTCACCCTCACTAAGCTCCAGGCACAAGGCTACCTCCTCAGGTGTCAGCACACTGTCCTGATCTTCCTCCAAGGATGATAGTGAAGAGCTGGAGAGGCAACTAGAAGCCAGACTGGGACCAGAAAGGGAAGAGGCCCGGGGGCTGGAGGGGGTAGGAGGACCTGAAGGGGCATGGATGGGGATGGAGACTGCTGGTAGAGGAAATGGGGAGGATGGTTTGGACTCTGCCACGTTCCTGGTTGGAGAGAGAGTGATGGGAGCATGTTAGTGCAATTCTTGAGTCCATGTCCACCCCTCTCCCAGCTCCAGTTTAACCCAGTAAGTACCCCACACCCTCCAGCACCACTTCCTGACCCCATGCCTTCTTACTGGGTCTGTTGACACTGAGTGGGACTTCCGTGAGGAGAGGGTGGTGCAGATGGCAGAGCGTGAGTAGCTAGTTCATTTGAGGAGCTGAGGAGCTGGGGTCCCAGGGCCCTCCAGGCAACCAATGTTCGGGGCATAGCACCTGGGGAGCAATAGCCCGGATGTGAGGATGGCACAGTCACAGCAGCCCCAGACCCAGCCTGGCTGTGCAGCCAGCCAGCCAGCATCTCCTCAGGGACAGGAGGAGCCAGACACAGGGCTGGGTCTGGTGGACTCCCACATCCTGCTTTACCCCCTTCTCTTCTCTCTCAGGGACTACCTGTTACCTGGGCTTTGAGAAAAGTTCTTGGAACTTCTACCTCCCAACTTCCAGGCCCAGTGTTCCATGGGGTGGTTGGCCTGCAGCAGTGGGGAGCTGTTGGCCTGGTGCAGCTCTGCAAAGGGCAGAGAAAGCTGTTAGGGGACAAACCAGACCCCAACCACAGGATCCATCGTCAGTTATGTTATTCAGTTAAGCCTGTAGCCCCTGGCACCCAGAAAAGAAGCAAGTATTGTCATGCATGCTCTTCACTCCCCTCCAGCTTCACCCGGGTAGGTATGATTGGGTTGAAAGAATATTTCGCTTAGAGACAAAAGACCTCCATTCACAGCCTGGCTCGGCCGCATATAAACTGAGGCTAGAACACAAGGGAGCTCTAGTAGTTTAGTGGTTAAGAAGTTACACTGCCACCCTCACCACTACTAGGCTCTGCCTTTCCTTCCCATCCTTACCCTGCTTCTTTTTGGCCTTCCAGGCCTCAGCAGGGGCCAAAGACAAGCGAGGAGAAGCATGTCTTCGGCAGCTGCAGAGGCTGTCAGAACTGGGCCAGGGATGGGAAAGCTGGGCCAGATGAGGTGGGAGGCTCCTGGCAGCTGGGGCCGGGGGGCTTGGTCGGGTTGGGGGGCTGGAGGGGATCTCTGTGATGAGGGAGCCATAAAAAGAGCTGGTGTCTGGAAGTAGGGGCACACCAGGGCTTCGGGGGTCCCAAGAGATCACTGTGAGAAAAACGATAAGAGGAATTACGGACTGTACAGCCCACCCCAGTCACCACCATGTCTAGGGTGTGGGCTCTGCCCCAGGTGTTGCCCCTAGTGTGTATGCTCACAGGAGCTCCGGCCATCCGGGGCATCTCGGGGGTCACCTCCCAGACGGCTGCTGAGGCTGCTGCTGCTGCTCAAGTTCCGAGAGCCAGATGTGGAACGCCAGGTGTCTGCCAGCCAGGGGGAGTCACTGTGGTCTACCCTGGGTCAATGGCAGGGCAAGGTGAAAGAGGGGTGAGGTAAGAACCTCCTCCACCAACACCACCAGCTCAGAAGGTGGCAGAGCATTGAGGAGCTCTTCACAGTCCTCTTAGACCTCTGACTCATGCCTCTCACTAAATGTCCCTGTCTCTCTAGAGACCGGTGAGAATTCAAGAGCTAGGAGGTGTTAATGAAATTAAGAGGCTAAGGAGAGATATCATCCAAAGCCAGACATAGCAGGATGGAGACTATATATGCTGAAAAGCAGCCATGCAACACTCAGCAAGCAATCTGCCTCTCCCAGCCCATCTGTAAAATGTGAACACCATAGTGCCTTTCATAGAAAGTGGATGCTGGGAGGGTGAGCAGGGAAATGCAAGGCCACTGGGCTGGCAGAAGAGACACTTGCTGCCTCAATGCTGGCTTCACTCTAGTCTTGTTCCCTTTGAACCAGGCACTAGGTCAGATGTCTGAGAAAGCTAGCAGCAGGGATCTAAATAAGGCACTCCTCTGGCTATAAACCCTCAGTGGCTCCCCAAGCTCACAGATGCCTACCCTTATTTTTGCCCCGACCTGCCTTGCAGATAGTGCCTCAGCCAGAGCAAATGGCTTGCTTTTCTCCATGGCCATGGCAGGCTATTTCTTGCTGCCCCTCTGTCTTTTCTCTTGTTGCCAAGGGAATTCCAGGGTAAATGTGGAAAGGCCTTCCTCCTGTGTAGCCCCAATCATGTATCTTGTACACATACACATCTGTGGTGGGGCTCCCAGTGCCTGACTACCCTCATGCTGATGGGGCTGCTACTACATGACAGAGTTCCTATCAAATGGTGGTTTTATAAATGAGTGCAAGAATAAAACAATCTCATGGGAATGGCCCTCATGGACATTGGAAAAGGTCCCAGGGGAGCCAGAGAAGCTTCAGGGTGGAGCTGGCAAAGCTGGAGGGAAGGCCCACAGAAAACTCAGAAAAATACAACAGCCAGCTTGGTAACTCATGCTGGGCTGAGAAACAGGCAGACTGATTCCATTAAAATGGCAGGCCACAGTACTCCATAAACACTTGCTAAAAGATGCAGTCCTAGGATGTTAAGCCTGCTGGGTGAAGCCTGGCAGGAACAGAGCAGGACCAGGCAGGGAAGACAGTGCAAATGACTGCCTGCTATAAAGCAGCCTGTGGCTCTTCCCTGGGTATCTTCATGCACATCCTGGATTTGTTCTGGCAGCCACAGCTGGAACAGAAGTAGGTAAGGCAAGTCCTGTTTTGGGGACACAGTGATGAAGTCCAGGAATCTCTTGTGGTTTAGTGGTAAGGAGCTGCACTGCCAACCCAAAGGCACATGGTTCAAATTCACTAGCCACTCCTCAGGAGAAAGATGGGCAGTCTATGTCCATGTGATTTACAGCCTCTGAAAATCCGTTGGCTGCCCGCTGAGTTGTTTCTGACTTGACAGTACAGAACAACAACATAACATGTTCTGGATGGAGGACACCCTCTGCTGGAGCTGTGGGTATATTACAGTGACCTTTCTATCACTAGGTATCACTGAGTGCACTGGGTATACAGGAAAAAAGAATTAAAGTTAAGTCTTATCCTTTTATGTTATACATCTTCCATTTAGCAGACTGAGACAGCAGAGGACAGTGCAGTGTGTATTAGTAGATGTTGGTGGCAAAAATAATAGTTCAGAGGTCGACCTCAGGCAAAGCTTAAATTTCATGTCTCTGTTTCATCACCTGTCAGGTGATGTGATAGGACCATTAATGAAAGAGAAGTTAATTCTCACTTAGGATTCAAGAGTGATTCTGATACTAAGATCGCAACCAGAGTGGCAGTAGGGGAGACTGGTACTCTGTCTAAATTCTGTCTCAGCCCCTCTGCCTCTCCCATCCCACTCCAGGGCTCTGTCCTGCCTCTCACCTGTGTTTTAGGATGGCATCCTCACTGGTATATCGGTATAGACCTGGGAGAGGGCAGGAGGAAAGTTAAACCTGACATCTCCATCACATGGCTGGAAAGCTGACCCTCCTGCTACATTGTGGCTGGACCCAGGGGATGCTGACCAGCTGGGGATCCCTCATCCTTACCTGGGCCCAGGTGTACCCCAGCTTGGCATCTGTGGTAGATACACATGACGGTACCAAGAAACAAGAGCCAGAGCAGGACCCCCAAGCTGATGATGACTTCTGGCCGCCTCAGAGTGGCCCTCAGTTTCTCCAGGGTCCAAGGCCCATGACTGCTAGGCTCTCGGGCAGCTCGTTCCATGGCCTGCTCTATATGGGATTTGGAGCTCAGAGGATGGGCAGGTGGTGGAAGCAGGACATTTGAGAATGGAAGAAGGGGAAAGGCAGGTGGGGCTGAGGGTTGAAGGGTATGGGCAGGCTAGTGCACACAAGCCTCACCTAAAAGGAGACACACTGGGCTACTGGGCTCCCCAGCCCCAGCACCGGTGACCGCAGCCACTTGCACACAGTAGGAGCCTGAGGAGCGGGTGGCGATTTCCAGCTGGGTCTGCTCGCTGTCCACGGTCCAATTGCCTGGAGGCAGTGAGGTGTTGCCTATGCTCCAGACCTGGACACAAGCAGATGTGGGCAGCTGTTCCTCTGGACCATCTCAGCCACAGGTCCGTCATCTCTAAACCAGCCTTTGGGCACCTGGTTAATCTTCTCTGCCATCCTCACACGTACTCAGACATCCTATTTCCTCCCCCTTTCCAAAGAGAGTGAGACTTCTCTCCCAGCACTGACAGAGGAGGAACCAAAATGTAACCTGCCCTGGTTTGCCTTAGAACAAGCTTCTTCTCTGTGCTTCAGAGTCACCTGGAGCACTTGTTAAAATGCAGGATTCCAGGTCCTGTGCTGATTCAGTAGGGCTGAAATGGTGTTATTTTGCCAATAATTTGGCTCTTACCTCATGGTGACCCCACACACAATGGAGCTTTCATCCTGCTACCCAGTGCTGCAGTAGCCCCATAATCAGACCAGATAGTAGTGACCCACAGGAGTTAGCATTGGCTGATTTTTGGAAGCAGATAGCCAGGACTTTCCTCCTAGTCTTTCTTATCTGAAAGTTCCATGGAAATCTGCTCAGCATCACAGCAATGCACAAACATCCACAGATAGGCAGGGATGACTGCATGATTGGCTGACAATAAAACAGGTTTTCTAAATGAAAGGAGAGAATCCGGCAACTGAACCAACAATGTCCCATCAGGCTTGGAGCAAGGAACAAGAATTTATATTTGTGAAGATGGTGCAAGATGCAGATCTGTTTTATATTGGTGTTATTAGGAGTCAAAGTCAACTCAGTAGCACGATGCAAGTTTTCAGGCATTGACTCAGCAACAATGCTTTGAGCATCATTGTCTTAGAGCTTTCAAGTCAGAAACAGCCTGGCTTGGCTCTTGGTTCTTAGAACTGTGATCTTACTCTCATTACCCTTATCTCTGTGTAAATTGAGATATAACCCAGACAGGAGATAGATCACCAAGTGAAGCATCTAGCAGTGTCTGGAAGCATTAAGTTCCTGCTCAGGAAATGTGTGTGTTTCCTCTGCTTTTCTGCAGAGACTCTTTAGTCCTGCTTTTCAGGGCCCAAAGCAAGAGCATGGAGACTCTGGGGGGTGAGGGAGGGAAGGGTGTCCCTGTTGGAGAGGAATACCTGGTAGCTACGAATGATGCCATTGTGGTTTTCTGCAGGTGGTGGGATCCAGTTCACAAGGACGCTACCATTGTTGGATTTCAGGGTCACCTCTTGTGGAGGGGCATTGGGCACTGGAGAAGAGAGGGAGAAGAGGAAAGTGAGGACAAAGAGGGTCTAGGGAAAAGGTCGGAAGCAAGGGCATGGAGTTAGAACCCCAAGGGATTATGATTGGAAGGGAGTCCCCTACCAAAATGGGACAGAAAAGGCCAGAGGGTAGATTGCGTTCTATTCCTGACCTTGTTCGGGTAGCCTCAGAAGTAGCACATTGCTCTCAGGACCTTGAGCCCGGCCGGAGGATGGTCTCACTTTGAACTCATAATCTCGGCCCCAGTGGAGGCCAGTAAGCTCTGCACTCTGCCAACCAGCCAGCAGGACCTCTCCCCACGGAGCCGGAGCCAGAGCCGCCTGGTCTCCGGGGGCAGGCTGGGCCCTGAACAAGGCTGTGTAGGACTGAGCAGGGGCAGCAGGGCCACTCACCTGAGGAGGAGTGTAGGGGGAAAGGGAGGGTCAGAAAGCTCAGGGCCTCTCACTCTTTGAGTTTGGGCCTGGCTTTTACCCTGATATGCTGGGCCTCACCTTCCAGCTGAGCCACACAGCAGGCCCAGGCCTGGGGCTCTTGGCAGGATCAGGGTTCAGCAGGGTCACGTTTTCCAGTTGGATGCGCACAGCCAGAAGCTTCAGGGGCTCCTTGTGGTCCTGGGGATCTGGGGGGACATGAGATGGGGAATGTGACTCACACTAGAGTGGACTGCGGGGTGAGACATCTCGCATTCACTAAGAAACCATGACCAACTGACTTCCAGATCTAGAACACTCCAAGAAGCCCCAGTGGCCTAGTGCGTTACTGAAAGGTCCACAGCTGAAATCCACAAGGGACTCCCTGGGATGAAGATAGGTAATCTCCCCATATGTCTTTATAGAATGAGAGCCTCGGAAGCTGAGTAGAGGGTCGCCATGAACCAGAATAATCCCATTGGCAGTGAGTTTTTGGTCTGGCTTAGAGCAATCCTAAGGAATCTTGGTAGTGTGGTGGTCCAAGCATTTGGCTGCTAATCTGAGGATGATGGTTCAAACCCTTCAGGTACTCCAAGGAGACAGGAGGGGGCAGCCGGCTTCCACAGACTCCCAGCCTTGGGAACTCTGGAGCCCCTCTCCTTTGTCAGAACTGACTGCAGGGTAGTGGGGTTTTGTTTTTAAAGTCCACTGTAGACAGGGAGCTCTGTAGGCCTAGTGGTAAGGAGCTGCACTGTAAATCCCAAGTGCTGTGGTTCAAATCCACCAGCAGCTTGATGGGAGAAAGATGGGCAGTCTCTTCACGTGTAATTTACTGCTTCTGAAAACCTGCTGGAAGGTCAGTAGATGGAAAAATTTCCCACTAAATGTCCATCTAAACTCAGGCCTAGACGGAGCCCTGCCTACCCTAACCCCAGCCAAACCCAGACCACATCATTCTAATCAGAGTCCCTACCTTGACCCCAACTTTAAGTGACCTTTTGGCCTTACCTTGGATAGACACCCTGGCTGCCCGGCTCTCCCGTTGCCGGGCACTGTTGGTGGCCACACACATGTAGGTCCCTGAGTCACTCTTCTCTGCTCTTGTCATCAGTAGGGACCCATCGGACATCTGTCAAGGCCAGGGGTGTTGTGATGTTTATGTGAGGTTGAGCTCGCTGTCACCCCTCCTTCCTTTAGTCTAGGGAGGCCTGCCTGGAGGCCTTGGAAGGCATATCAGCTGTGACCAGGGCAAGATGAACTAAGGGACAGAGGTTAAACTCACCACGTACTGGCCTGGCTGTAGGACCAGGGGTTTCCCATCTTTCCACCATGAAACCGTAGGTTCCGGGAACCCCCAGGGCGGCTTGCACTCCAGGATAACCTGCTCGCCCACCATGGCCACTGTGTCCCGAGGCTGGACCTGGAAATCCTCCCGCAGCACTGTGGGCAAGCGGAGGATAGGCTACCCACCATATTTGCCCCATTCTGCTTTACCTAGTTCTTTGGTCTTTCTGCTGACTCTTCAGAGTCCCACAGTTCAAGTTTCTCAAAAGGATCCCCTGCCAGTCCTCCCTCTCATATGTCCTCTATACCTTCCCCACCCCAGGTGTGCCCCACCCAGGTGTGCCCCACCCAGCTGTGCCCCATCCCAGCTGTGCCCCACCCCAGGTGCACCCGATTCAGCCTTCTCAGGCCCTCACCAGTCACAAACAGCTGAGCACCTCGGCTGACAGCTGTGCCCAGGTGATTGCTGGCCTCACAGGTGTAGATGCCCAAGTCAGGGGGAAGGGCCTGACCATCATTGGCACGTCCCTGGGCTGGGGGCCGCATCAGCAAGAGAGTGCCATCAGGAAGGAGGTGGTAAAGGTCTGGGGGTGTCATGCTCAGGGGCTGCCCATTCAGCAGCCAGCGGATGGTGGGAGGTGGCTGGCCTGAGGCACGGCAGTTCATCCTGGCGGGGCCCGGGCCCTGGAGCAGCTGGTCCTGGGGGTGGACGAGGATCTGGGGTGGGGAGTCTTCAGCCATGCCTCCTGAGAGGAGTGGATCCCGGGGTGACTATCAACAGGACCCTCATACCCAATCTCTCTCTCTCTCTCTACACACACACACACCACACCACACCACACCCCCCCACCTCATGGCAGGGTGGCAGACTGGAAGAGGTCCATGCTACTCACCCATGCAGAGTAGAAGCAGGAACGTCAGTGGCCTCCCTGCTCTGAGGAGGCCCACTCCTCTAGGGCCCATGGCTGCCCTCAGGCCTCTGTCCTGGCCTCAAGCACTTTGTCTGCTGCTCTGGATTCCAGAGTGGAGGGAGAAGGAGGGGTGGGGCTGCTGTGGTAGTTGTTTGTGACGGAGACTGCCCAGGAGGGAAGCAGCTTGGAGGAAACTGATGCTTCCTGTCTGGCCCTCACAGCCTTGGTGTGCAAGTAGAGAGCAGAGGGGTGAAACTCTCTGACTTTGACTCTCACCATAACCCTTGACCCTGACTCCAGCCCTATGATTCACTTTGTGATCCAATCAGGTATTTTTTAATGACTATTTTCACGCTAAGCATAATTCCAAGCACATTATTTAAACTTTTAGGACTAAACCTCTACTTAAACCTTATCCTTGAGTATCAGGCCTTACCCTTTTGCTTTCAATAGACCGTGGCTAGCATGGAACAGACATTCAGAGGCGAGATCTCAGGGACCACAGGAGAAGTTGAGGACACAAATAAAAGAGTGTCAGGTGAAAGCCTAAGTGGAGGGAAGCAGGGAAGTTTGACTTCACTAGGGTTAGGTAATGGGTGAGTGAAGAAGGTAGGAAAAAAAAGGGATGGGCTCGAAGTCTCAGCCCAAAGTCTCTGTCCATATTCTCCTCAAGGAAAGATGAAGGAAGTTTCTGTGAGGCCATGGGCAGATTACTTAACCTCTGCAAGTCAGTTAGTGGGAATACCATATTTAAGACCAGATGTTAGGTGCTTTTGAACTGAGTGACCCTATGAACAACAGATCTGAACCCTATTCTATCCTGTGCCATCCTCACAATCTCTGACATATATGAACCCATTGCTGCAATTACTGTCAATCCACGTGGATGACAGTATTCCTCTCTTTTGCCATCCCTCCACCTTCCCAGGCATGATGTCCCTCTCCAAGAAACAACCTCTCCTAACAACATGTCCAAAATATGTGAGACAAAGTTTTATCATCCTTGCCTTCAGGAAGCACTCTGGCTGCACCTTCTCCAAGACATATCTCTTCTTTTGACAGTTCATCGGGTAGTCATTATTCTTCTCCAACACCAAAGCTCAAAAGCATCAATTCTTCCTAGGTCATCATTACTCATTGTTCAACTCTCAGATGCATAGCAAGTGATTGAAAAGACCATGGCCTGAATCAGGTGCACCTTAGTCTTCAAACTGAGATTGTTGCTCCTCAATAATTTTGAGAGGTCTCTGATGGCAGGCTTTCCCAGTACAGTATGTCTTCTGATCTCTTGACTGCTGATACCAAGTGCATTGCTTGTGGATTCAAGTAAGATGAAGTAATTGACAGTGTTAATCTTTTCTGGGAAGTGAAATGAGACAGAGCATGAAACCAGTTAGCACAGTACCTGATATATGAGAAATGATTAGTAAAAGTTCTTCAGTATTGTTTTTAGATACATCCTGTTCTGAGACCATCTAAGTGTCCTTGGCGGGGATGGTTTTCAGACCCTGTAAAGATGAGATGATTACAATGAATTCCCTTTAAGAGTTGTTCCAGTCCTGAAACCCCTGTCACATGGTTCTGCACCCCCTCCCTAAAGGCCCACTGCCCACACTCAGAGCCCTGCTCCTGTTTACAGGTCTCTTCCTTCCAAATCTGGAATCTCAGCCATTTCCTGGAGCTGTTCCCAGAAGCCTAAGCCAGGCTCTGGGGGCTCAGCGGAAGTGTCAGCCTTTGTTTCCAATTGTTCTTGGCCAGCTCCTCTAGGGGTGGGGGCTTGCCCAGCTGACCTCCCCCACCTCAGTTCCTCACTCCCCCAGACATGTGCTGCTGCCTCTTCATCCTAACAGCCTGTGGGGAAGGATTCCTGCAGTCCTCCTCCCTCCCTTCAGAGGAGACAGAGCCAAGAACTCCAGGGTCTCTACAGGAGTGGGAGGCGTTTCCATGGGTAAAGAAAAGACCAATTGAAAATAACAGACAGAGCTGGAAGGATAGGAAGTGGGACTACAGAATCGAGCATGAGGTTTCAGATGAGACAAGATTGTTGATGTGAGGTGATGTTTGTGGAACAAACGGGCAGAGCGGGACAGAGTCCATGAAGTTCAAGCACTGTGGAGCCAGATTAGTGGAGAGTAACATTTGACTACATGGGTGTCAACCAAGGACAAGGATGACAGGCTGTGGGGAGATGCATGGACTGAATGAGGAGGCACTGCTGCGATGTCCCATAGGACATTAGCCCAGGGGTATGCCAGAGACAGAACCTCCAAGTCTGTCTGACCCCCTGGCTGCCTTTTCTCAAGAATTCTCCTGTCAGCACTTCTTCCACCCTTCTATTCCTAAGCTAAGGAGCTTTCGTGGTGTAGTCCACAGGGAGTTGTGCTGCTGACCGAAGGTGGCATCTCTCCACATAGTAGCTCCAAGGAAGAAAAATGGACATTCTACTCCCATGTGATCCATAGCTCTGAAAACTCCCTGGAGCTATGAGTCTGTTCCTATGAGTTTGAGGTTATTGAGTTCCAATGAATTTGAGGTTTTTGAGTTTATTTCTGCATCGGACTTAGTAACTTAGTGAACCAGGTTCTCCTGTAATGCTTCAGGGGCCTGGGATTCTATTCAAATCTCCACAGTGCAGCCCTGTTAGCTTCCTTCAGGGAACAAGGCTCACAGGAATTAAGTTACCCAACTACCTTGTGCTCAGCTGAGGAGTTACTTGTTATTGTTGAGTTCGATTCACAGAGACCCTATGAACAATATATCTGAACTCTGTCCTGTTCTGCACCGTCTTTACCATCCACAACACATTTGAGACAATTGCTGCTACCACTGTGTCAATCCATCTCAACGAGGGTCATCTTCTCCCTCCTAACAACATGTCCCAAATAGGTGAGATGAGTGAAGCTTCACCAGCCTTGTCTCCAAGGAACACTTTCTCCAAGACATATCTGTTTGTTCTTTTGGCAGTTCATGGGATAAACAGTACTCTTACCTAACACCACAGCATAAAGTCATCAGTTCTGCTCTTGTTATCCTTATGCATTGTTCAGTTCTCAGATGCATAGCAGGTGATTGAAAAGACTTTGGCTTGAATTATACACACCTTAGTCTTTAAACTGATAGCATTGCTCTTCAGGACTTTGGAGAGGCCCCTGACAGCAGAGGAGAGTGAGGGTGGACAAGTGAAACCTCAGAACAGAGCTGTGGCAGTCACAGCAGCCGGAGGAACTGTACCTGTGCCAGTGGAACTTGTATGCCCTCCTGCTATTGCTCACTGTTCACACACCCGCTAACCCTTCTAGACTCTGGAGTGTTTTAAGAAGGGGTTAGAACTGGGGGGAGGGTAATTACTGGGAGCTGCTCCTGTGGGACATCGGAGCACCTCTCCATTCAGTCAAAGCATCCAGGGTGCTTAGGGAGTGGAAGAATGACCACAAGACTTCCCAGCTGTGAGGTATGTCTGGATGGCTCCCAGAGAGCACGGTGCTCACTTCCAGCTACTTGGCTCCTCAGCATCCTGATTGTCTCATTTCCACAAATGAAGGAAGAGCCGACTGCATGAGTCATGAGGATGACCAGGGCTGGTTACCCAAGAAGCAAGGAGGCACAGGCTAATTTGTAAAGATATTTGATACAGGTTAGTAAATCATTCCTACAGATTAATAAATAAGCACAAGTTAGTTGTGTTTACCTTGTTTACTATCAGAGACTCAAAGTGTGAAAAGAGACAAATACCAGGTCTATGAAGAAGCAGAATCTTTAATGTGGTAGAAAAAATGTAAAACTGTCTTCTTGCCACTAGGCCACCAGAGATTAGAAAGTAAGCAAAAGCAAACCTGTGCTCCCCTTGCTTAATTAGTAATCTGGCACAGGGGATGATGTTAGTTGGTGGGGAAAACCCCCTCCCAAACCTCAAACTTACTGCCATCAAGTCAGAACTGACGCATATGCGGAATTTCAGAGGCTATAAATTGCATGAGAGGAGATTGTCCCTTCTTTCTCCTGAAGAGCATCTTGTGGAGCTGAACCATCTGCCTTGAGGTTGGCAGTGCAGCACCCCATCCACTAGGTCACCAGAGCTCCCGTCTTGGTAGGAGATGCTGTCAACTGTTATTTCAGGGAGGATGTGCTCTGGGTCCCAGGTGAACTGGATGGTGAGTTTACATATCATCCTCCTTCACCCCTTGCTTCTATTGTGCTTTGTATTTTTGCGAGTAACTCCTTAACTGCTTGTAAGAGGGGAAAAGAGGGGGAGGGACCAGGTATCCTTTTGAACTACTCTAGAGGGAGTGAGGTTTTGTTTTTTACTGAATGCTGCAAGAATTGAGGATTATTATTAGAGAATCTGATCATTTTCTTGCTATGTGGTGTATCAAATGAGTCTTTTCCTTCTATTTTGAATAATGCTTCCCTGAACATTGCTTTCTCTCTTCCTCTCCCTCTCCTTCTCCTTTTCCATCTCCCTCTCCTTCTTCCTCTCTTTCTCATTCTCTTTTATGCTTATGAGTGTTAATGAGTCTCTACTGAATTAACCCAGAAGTCGAATTTCTTGGGGTACAAACAAATATTCAACTTTATAATAGAAAACTATTCTCTAAATCAATAGTAACTGTGTCACTGAATCGCAGCAACAGTTGGTGGATTTAATTACTGTTATTCTAAGCATGTAAAACAGCATCTTCCTGTTTGTTTCTGTTTTTGTTTTTTTATCTTCTTATTTTATATGTGTGTGTGTGTGTCTGTGTGTGTACCGTCAAATCGGATCTGACTGGTACAGGAGGATACTGTCCCTCCTTTCCCGGCAGAGCATCTGGTGGATTTGAATTGTGCACC